TGGACTCTTCAGACTGTGGAGGGGACCCGGCGTTGGTAGTTATAAAGGATGGAGTGATACACATCTTGTGAATTGTTTTAGAAATCCCCTTGGAGATTCCTCGAGTCCCCCTATACACACACACACCATGGGCCGTGGGCCGTGTGACCTTGGGTATGGCAGAATCACTCATGCTACGCATGTCACCTCAGAATTGGCACTTGGGCCCACTTGGATGTAGGTCATTTTGTTTCTAAGCTGAATCCAATGACAACCTGATCTGAGGCTCCTGCCAAGAATGCTAATGGTGGGCTGATCAATGTGCCTTGGGGCTCTTGGTCCAGGGGATGCTCCAGAAGCCACATGCCATAGAATTCTGGGAGGTTGATACCCTGTCCCTGACCCCTAGGCCTTCTGCCCTCACTAGGTATCCGGCTCAGTTGGCCAGGGAGCATGGAAGTTGTCTTTATTTATCTTGACCTTTCCATGTGAGTAATTTTTATCGTTCCATTAACTAGTGAGACCATTTGCAAACCGCCAAGCAAAATATATTACCACTGACACCTCAGGGACTTGCGGGTCGTCTCGGGTGGAATGCTAATAGAACTGAGAATTGATTCAGGCCCCCCACGTGTGAGGATCAACAGATCGGGCCACTTTGGGTCAGGGAAGAACCTGTGTTGTCTCAGCAGTTTTCAGAGGAGACCCCAAGTCTGGTTCATCTATCTTTGTGCCACATTCTGCATCCTGGATCCTGCAAGCTCACCTGCCCTAGGACAGATGTCCCAATCCATGGTCTGCACCACAGAGCACACTTGTCCCCATGCCAGCCTCCATAGGTGTCGGGATTCTTCTCAAATGTGGTTTGAATCAGCCGAAAAGCCAGCAGCTGCTGCCGTGGCGCCCTGACACCCCAGAGCTGGAGGGAACATCCAGATCCTGTCATTTTAGACAGAGAAACGGAGGCCCGTTGGAGAGAGGGGCTTCAGAGACAGAGCTGGTGCTGGGACTTTCTTCTCTCAAACTGTGTCCAGGTGGCACTGGAGCCTGTGGGTAAGAGCAGGCCACTGTGAGTTCACACCTCGGGGTGGCCTCCCGTCAGTTAGGGCTGTGGCAAGAAACAGTGGCACGTTGCGGAGCCACCAAGGAGAGCTGAGTGAGAAGGTGGTTATTTGTAAACACATTAACAATAAGGAGAGACTACCATCCCCAAGCCCAGGAAACCCTTCGGGGACCTTGAGCCAGAATGGAGAAGGACCATCCCACGTGCTGCCTCCTCACGGGTGAACTTGCCTTCTGCCACCCCCCACCCACTGCTGTTTCCCATCCAGAAACCGGAAGCCAAGGAAGCCCCTTAATGCCATCGATGCAGGTCACTTCCCAGCAAAGGAGGGTGGAGAAGGTGGGGCGTGGGTCTGGAGAGGCGAAAGGAAGAGATCAAGCACATGCCTCCTCAAGGGGTCTGATTTTGTGGAAGGCGAGATGCATGGGGTACTAGTGGCATTTGAATTTCATGGGAAGGAAAAAATTAAGAAAAAAAATGTCTAAAAATCCTGCTGTGGAGGAGGGGGCAATAAGGAACAAAAGGTTTGGGAGCACGGATCTAGCACATTCTCTTGCTAACTGTGTGGATTTGCCCTTCTGCGTCTGTTTCCCAGCTGGATGTGGACAGCCAGCTGGACGGACCTCCCGGGTTACAGAGGGCCATGTGCACTCAATGCCTTCTCATGTGGTCCTTTTCCTCTTTCACTCACYACAGCTTCTAGCTCACTAGAGATGCTCCTGGCACCCCTGGGTCCAGCCCCAGCATCCTGGATCAGTCTGTGCTCTTAACCACCCATGTCCTGCTTCTCACTAAAGACACTTGTAGCATGCCAGGATATTAGGTCAGGACAGGGGCAGGAGGGTAGATGGGGCTGGGGGACTGAGAGCAGCAATTCACATTTCTCAATGGGGCTGAGAAAGGGGGAGTGCCACCTCCAGTCACATAGCTGGTCACATGGGAGCCTGCATTAGAGTCCCTGCCCTGAGAACCAAGGGACACACAGCAGTGGGAAGAGGAACTTGGCAAAAGCTCTGTGTAGAGATATAGGAGCCAGAGGAGGAGGCCAGAGAAGGAGGCCAGGGGGCTCAGAACCCTAGCYCAGACCCTCCCGGTTGTTAGCCAGAGTGGGATCATGGCTCAGAAAGAACTTAGAGGACCCTCCACTCTAGGTCAGCTGTGTGTAAACCCTAGGCCTCTGTGGAGGGGCTGCCTACCACTGGCTTCCCTGGGGTCCTGGTTAGGAGGGGGCTGCCCCAGCCCCAGGGAGGGTAATGGAGCCTTGCCTTCATCACCCCCTAGGCACTCTCCCCACAGCACCCCAGCCCCTCCCCATCAGGTGTTCAAACACAAGTGGCTCAAACGTCAGACACGACATCGGAGCCGCAGGAATTCACCATCAATATTTCAGGCTTCAACACTGTCTGAACAACACCTATGAAATATGATGGGTTGAGGTTTTAACAAGCACAGAAATAATACCAGGACGATAAGAAGCAGAAGTGGGCAGTGAGATCTAGAGCAGGACACAGCCATATCCCTGGACGCAGGCCAGGGTTTGTGGGATGACTGCCCATGTGCAGGGTCACCAGGGCCTAGTGTGCTGGACACAGGTCTGAGTCGGGGCCTGTGTCTGCAGTGTGGCAGGAGGTGCTTGGCAGAGTCTCTCAGATCCCTGGAACTTCGGAGGGGACCGTGGAAAAGGCAGTGTAATGTGGAGCTTGCTCAGAGCATCCAAAGGCCATTCCCTGCCAGCGAGGGAGAACGTGCAGGAGCTAGGCCAGTGGTCCATTCTCTAGGGTCAGAGAGCAGAGAAGGTGACAGGGCACTATGTGGCCCTCTTTCTCAGACTTCCCTTCCCCTCCCTCTGCAGATACCCAGTATATCAAAGCAGCTCTTCTCCTGCCCTTGCTGGTCCTCCTGGGGACAGCTGCAGCACTCTATGCTGCCCACTCTGCTCTGGCTCTTCCAGCCCCCGAGCTGTGTGGTCCAGTGTGAGAGAGACGTGAAAGGCAAAGGTCCTGGTCTTGAGTGTTTTGCCTCCTCCTCCTTCAGAGGCCTCTCTCTCCAGGAGCCTCATCCTTGAACTTCTCCCTTCCTGGCAGAGAGGCTGCACACTGTCCATGAGGTCACGGACACCCAGGCCTCAGGTTCTCTATGTATAAGGTCAAGGGCTGTACATGATTTTTTTCTCGAGGTCTCTTCCAGCCCTGACACTTGGCAGGTTCACGATTCACTGCCTGCTGTCACCGCCTTGGCAGAGACCCCGGGGATCAAGGTGTTGCTCTCTGCAGTTGGAGGTGTCACTGAGCTAATCTGACAAGCTGTAATGCAAATGGGCCCAGCTGTGGCGTGTGCAGGGCCTTTGCCTGTGGGGTGGGGATGGGGGACAGGGAACAGCTCCAAAGACTGGGAGCTGTCTGGGCCAAGGGGCTGGCATTGATGGGGAGCCAGGGGCTGGACACCTGGTGTCCAGTGTGTGCTCGGGACATTGACCCACTAAAACTTGTTTGGAAAGTCCAGTGGGGACAGGAGGAGCCAGGGCATCAGGAGTGACTAGTTGGGGTCTCACTAGTGGCCAGGAGAGCAGCTCATTGTGGCTCTAAGTGGAGCTGACACCTGGGGTCAGGGTCTAGCCTGGTTCTTCAGTGAAAGCTGGGTTGGCCATTCCTGGGGCTCTGGGGAAGCAGGGTCTGGCGCTGTGGATATCTTCAGCACAAACCAGTGCTCCCCCTGAAAGCCACTTGTACAGAGAAGGACTCTGGTGGCAGGCCACTCCAGACATGTCACCTTCCAAGCTTGCTGTGGACAGACTGACTCCAGACCCCTGAGTCCTGGGCATCTGAAGTGGCTCTCTTGAGGCAACAGGTTCAAGGTCAGGCTCTATGTTTGGGATGGGCCAAAGGACACCATACCAATCACAAAAAGGACCTTCTTATCTAACCTAGAAGGGCCTTCTCAGTGGACATTGGACCAGGTGGAGGGTGTTGGCAGGTCAGTGGCAGTCCCTGACAACTCACCCAGGGGGCCACCCACTTTCCCTCCCAGGCCAAAATGGCAAAGAGAAGGTCTCTAGTTGCTTTCAGGAAAAAAGCCCTTCATGTAGATCCCACCTGGGACATCGACAGGGTCGATCGTAGCAACTGATTTCCTAAGCCTTCAAGATTGGTGGGGGAGGTAAGGGGTGTTTTCTCTAATCCTTCACTGATGGATTAGATGGTGGGGCAGATCTCTCAGGAGCAAAGGATGACCTTGAGAAAATCTGGATTCTGTCAAAAGAAGAAAGAAATAATCTCCCCCTTCACCCTGCTGTCAATAAGCCTCCCTGGCGCTGGCGTGGACGGAACCTCTGCTTGCTGCTGCAGCCTCGCGGCTCGGGAGCATTTGACTGCATGATAAGAAATTGCCAGGCGCTTTCTAATTACAATTATCATCATCGTGGATGTCTCTCTTAATTACTTTCTTATAATTAGCTGTTGCTTTTTCCTCAGCATTTGTGTACTTTGCAGATTTGCTGACATTTGAGAGCCCCAAAATAGGGACAATTGGGGAGGGGGGCAGAAAGGTGGGGGAAAGGTGCCCGTTCTCTTCCGGCAGCCTGGTACATTTGGGCGCCTTTGCAGAAAGAAGTTGAGGCCGGAAAAAGGAAAGGAACAGGTGACTGACAGAGCAGGTGGGGCGGGAATATAGGAGTAGGACTTGGGGACAGTGGTTTGCAGAGTACTCCAGAGGTTTAAGCATATGGAGGGGCTAGTTTTGAAAAGCCACTGAGGCCCATTTCTTGGGCTTGGGTTTCATCTTAGGATGTGACACTGGACATCAGTTCATTTCAGAGCTAGGCCACTCGCATCATGAGGGACTTGATTTTTCGTCCTGAGCATCTCTGGCACCGGGGAGCTGGGACAAGGTGGGTGTTGCTCCTCGCCCAGGGGTTGGTTTTCACTGTTCTGTTCTCTCTCCCTCTCTCCACGCCCCTCAGCCCTGTGTACGGAGGAGTGCGTGCACGGCCGCTGTGTCTCCCCGGATACCTGCCACTGTGAGCCTGGCTGGGGAGGGCCCGACTGTTCCAGCGGTAAGTCTGGTGTCTTTGAGGGTCAGGTGGCCCACTGGTTATGACTTGGGAGGGGGCTGGGGCATGTGCATGCTTATCCTTGTGTTAGGATGGGGTGACTCAGGATGGGCTGCCTGAGCTGGCATGGGCATCGGGGGACGCCGTTCATGTGTGAAGGTACTTGTGGGGGCAGCAGGCTCTAGGGGGTATGGGGTGGTGGTTTAGGGGGGGTCTTTGAGGGTCTGTGTGTTTAAACAAAAGGAATTGTGGGGCCATCTGTACTACTGTGACTTTGGATGGAGCACCTCTGGATGGTCTCTGCGAATTGAAGTGAACTTGGGGTGCTGCCCAAGGGTGCAGGCGCTGGAGGTTACCGTGATCTAGTTGGTCCTTGGCTTTGCTGGTACAAAGGCTTAGTTTTCTGGGTGTCCACAGAGGCACACGGGGACTGATTTATGAGACTGTTGGACACTGAGATATCTCTGTGCCCCTAAAGGTAGGAGAAGGGGACACTCTCGGGAGCAGGTCATTGTGTTCCTTCATCCCTGTGCATAGATGGTTCACATTCTCCTGGGAAGCTTCCTGGTGAACATGGAGTGAGGAGGGTGCTCTTGGGGCTAACCAGTGACCCACAATAGCATGGGGTGTCATCTCTACTATGGGGCTGGTCACCAAGAGGATGAGGTGCACCTGGCAGCTACCTGGGGAATACAGATCCTTCCCCTCTCCACTCATTTCCCCCAGTGACCCCTTTCCATGGGCACACTCTGCATTCAATCAGTGGTTGGTTAAATGTCACCGTCTTATTTGATTTTCATAAAAGCGCTGACTAGTGCTGAAGCCCAAGTTCCTTCCGGCTTTGTTCTGGGGTAGAGTGTTTCTTAATGGTGACTTGAGTAGACCACACAGCCAAGCTAATCCACTAGGGATCTAAGCCCCACAATTTACCCATCTTGGGGAGCCACCTCCACGTTCCCTACCCCATACTAACTGTGACGGTCATGAAAACCCGGAGAGAGCAAGTCATGAGAACCTAGGTCCACGTTGGTCTCCTGGGGTCTCTTGCCCTCTCTCACTCCCTCGGCTGGGGTGGAAGCATCTACTTATGGTCCTTTTATTTTCTTTTTTTTTTTTTAATATATTTTTGAGTTATACATGGACACAATATCTTTATTGTGTTTGCTTGTTTTCATGTGGTGCTGAGAATCGAACCCAGTGCCTCCCACGTGCGAGGCAAGTGCTCTGCCTCTGAGCCACAACCCAGCCCTACTTATGGTCCTTTTTCCCAAAGGCCTCGGGTGGAGCCCCCAGTCCTCCGGAGTCTGAGAACACGCTGGCCAAAGCAAGGCCACTGGGTGTGTGGCTTTGCGTCTTGGTGATGATCTTGGCCTAGGGAACCCAGGATCCATTTGGGGTATCCAAGAGACCCTCTCTAAAGTGTGAAGATCCCCAGTGGCCACGGTGGTCTCCTGCTTTCACCTGGTCCGGCACTTTGAGGTGGGCTGTCACTGAGAAGAGGGCCAGACAAGGAAAAGTGAACCCGAGCGAGGGACAGGTGAGTTCAGGGCACGTTCAACCAGTTTTCTGTGGACTAGAACTGCAGGAAACGCGTTGGGTGACATGTCTGAGGGCTCCCCCGTCGTCCCTGCTTTGTGTCCCATAACGTGGCTTACAGTGAGTCTTTGAGGAAGAGCCATCGAAGCTGGATGAGGAGAGCCCTCCTGGGATGGTCTGCTGCTGGCTCACTGCCGGGGGCAGCCTGTCGCAGACTGAACCGCAGCTCGCGTCTCAGGGGCCCCGGGCGCCTGTGAATCACCAATCAGTGCAAATGGGGTGAGTTCTCGCACTGATGAACAGGACTCAGATAGGTCTTGCCCCCAGAGTGAGGATACCAGACACACAGGCAAGCAGCCCTGTTACTCACCAGCACAACTCTGCGCTGTCTAATCAGCCCCCAGCGCAGTCATCAGACTCAGTGCCCAGAAACCCACAAGCTGTTTCCTCTCCATTAGATCCACCCGCATGGGCCGAAGGGCCACCACTCCTGGGTCCACTCAAAGGCATGTACTAYTGAACCCACAGGAAGTCCTAAAAGATGGAGCCCGGCAGTACTGGCTACTATTCTCACTTGCAGTGTGTTCAGGCACGGAAGGTTAAATGCCCTCCTAAGAGCTCGCCAACCTCTGCCTGCGTCCCTGTAGTGGCAGGTTGCTCGCCGCTGCTGGGAGGCACATTCTGACTGGGGGTCTATCCAGGGGGAGGTTTCCCTTCTGGGCAGTGCAGCTCCGCCTCTGGGTTTAYTGGTGACTTCTCACTCATGCTAAAGGCCAGGCAGGGTGACGGGTCACCAGGACTTTCCTTGCCATTCCAATTTCTCTGCAGGAATTCATTGGACAAGGCTGCAAGCTCTGGGTACACAGTCATCTCAGAGCAGTTGATAGCCATTGCTGGGGAGGCATGGAGGACACCAGGGTCCCTTCCAGGTCAGCCCTTCAGGTGTTAGAAGATAGCCCGCACCTCCTCCCCTTGCTTTTCTTCTCTAACCTGCTTTGATTTGTGGCCTTTATTCCATATATATATATATTTGTTTGTTTTAGTTGGACACAATACCTTTATTTTATTTTTATGTGGTGCTGAGGAACGAATCCAGGGCCTCGCATATGCTAGACGGGTGCTCTACCACTGAGCCACAACTCCAGCCCTTGCTCTTTATTCTTCTTAAAAATCATTCCTACACCTGACCAAACACCTACAGCCTTGGTCTGAGCAGTGGAAAATCATAATGGAGACTGCTACCATGCCCTGAATTTTACTATGTATCAGGCCTTTGCCTATCAACTCATTTAATCTTCACAGCAAACCTATAATGTAGGAATTATTAGACCCATTTTATAAATGGAAAAATTAAAGCATAAAGAGGTTAAAGAATTTCCAAAAGAATTGGGTGCAGAGGCACACACCTGTAATCCCAGCTACTCAGGAGGATGAAGTGGGGGGATCTAAAGTTTGAGGCCGGCCTGGACAATTTGGTGACATCCTCTCAAAATAAAATTTAGGAAGTGTTGGGAATGTAGCCCAGTGGTAAAGCATCCCTGGATTCAATCCCCAGCCCCCCAAAAGAGAACTTCCAAAATACATAGCTAGTAAATGGTCTAACTGGGACTCTCTCTCAAGCAAAAACCTGGGTCCTGATTGGAACTCTTAATTATTACACTCGCCTTCCCTCTGTTGATATAGTCTAAGGTTGAAATAGATATTTGATGTGAAGACATGATTGCTCACAGGGGAAGGAGGGATCTACCTAAAAAGTATGGCCCTGAGGTATGGTTGTGGAGGTAGAGAAACCAGCCACAAAAAACTAATTGTTATCAGGTTTTCTTTGAGCCATTTGAGCTTGCTTGCTTGTTATTGTTCAGTTGGATGCCTGTGCTCTTCAGCATCTTAGGGTCTCTACAGGGCCATGTCCTCGGGGACAGGTGTCTCAGTCAATGCAGTGAGTGTCTCTGGAGGCCTCTGAATGGGGTCTGTACATATGACACCCTTGCAGAGGAGCCTAGGTTGTTTTTTCTCCCTGTCTCTTAAGCTATACCTGTTTGTGTTAAAAGGAACGTCCTTGGGAGGCTGAGGCAAGAGGATTGCAAGTTCAAGGCCAGCCTCAGCAACTGAGCAAGGCTAAGCAATTAAGTGAAATCCTGTCTCAAAATAGAAAATAAAAAGGGCTGGGGAATGTGAGTCAGTGATTAAGCACCCCTGAGTTCAATCCCTGGTGGGAAGGAAGGAAGGAAGGAAGGAAGGAAGGAAGGAAGGAAGGAAGGAAGGAAGGAAGGAAGGAAGGAAGGAGAGAGAAATAGTGAAAGAAAAAAAGAAATGTCAAATTGCATGGAAATGGCAGACAAAAAAGGTGAAATCCACACACCCAGAGGTAACTACCACTGGGGCATAGGTGCTTCGCCCACCATCCATGGTTTCTCTACACAATTGCACATAGAACCAGGTCTGGACCCCATGGATGTGCTAGTCTATCACTTGCTTTTAAAATTCACCTTTAAGTCATGTGCTCATTTCCTTCATCAACTTGTAAATTTTTAATGGCCTTATAAAGTTTCATCCCATGGATTTCCAAATGTATTTAACCAGCCCCTTGTTGATGAGCATGTAGGTCCTTTGTGATTCCCCACTTTTCTGTGCCCAGCATCTCTTCCCCAAGGCCCCTTGTGCCTGTTGGTCTCAGAATGAAGAACTCCCCACGGTTTAGAAAGTGTGTGGTGGCCCTGACATCTGTGAGCTACCCCCACAGGATCTGGGCAGCACCCTGGATAAAACAGTAATATTTCTGAAGTGACATACAACTGATCAGATCTAGTGACATAAAGATGATACATCCCCTCAAATCAGTTCCCTGTAGATTTACCTCTATGTGAATTCTTGTGCAGAACTTCAAAAATATTTTTTGGACTTTTTAGAGAGTCCGGGTTTATGGACATGTGAAGAAGGACCCGTAGCCCTGTGTGAAAGGCTGCAGCGATCCTTCTTATGCATAAAAGGCCCACGAGATCCAGGTTCTCCCTAGGATAACTTCCTGGATGAGGCAGGGAAGGGTATAAAAATACATCATCCTACTCCCTGCCCCTGCCCTGCCCTTTTGGCTGCCAAAGGATTTATGACTTGGACAGTCTTGAAGCGGGCAACTCTAGTGCCGAGGTGGGGTGGGACTTTTCATTCTTTTACAGACTTATGACCCCATAGCCTAATTTCTTTAAGGCCTCAACTAATTTCTTTCTGCTCCATAAAAGAAGAAGGCAGACGCGTCAGCTTTGTGGATCGTTCCAGGCTGTTAGACGGACCCATACGGGGAAATGGAGTGGCCGGGCGCTTGGTCATAAACCTCGATCCCATATAATAATGAAGAGTAAAAGGATGAAATGTCAGTTTATACTGAATAAAGACGACAGAGTGACGCTTATTAAATTGTGCTAATCTCACAAGTGGAGATAAAAAGAAAAGAAGTTTTTCCTATATTG